AATGAAAACATTTAACCTCTGTGGATTTCACAGTGAAACATTGGATTTTAGGGGGTACATGCTATCAATTTAAATAAATGGTATAAAATATGAATATATCTTCACCTAAATAACAGCAAAAGCATTTATACCTCACGTGCTTTATTAAAAAATAATATGTGATTTCCTTTATTATTCATTGAATCAATATAAATATGCTGCTTTTATGGCTTTTAGGGGGTGCATGCTGTAAATTAAAGTAAATGGCATAAAATCTGGACAACTTTACCGATATATTATATTTTTTGTACTAATATATTACCTCTCTTCTCTACCTCTTCGTCATTGACTTTATCGTTTATTTTCTCAGCTCTATACCCTAAAAAAGAGCAAGAATGATTGTAATCTGTCCATCACCTAAATTACAGCAATGGCATTCATACCTCTCTCTCGTGCTTTATCTCAAAGTATAATATGTGATTTCTTTTATTAGTCATTAAATCAATATAAATATTCTGATTTGTTGGATTTGAGGGAATGCATGCTATGAATTACAAATAATTTGCATATAATTTGGACAACTTCACCAATATATTATATTTTCTGTAAAAATATATTTTACCTCTTCTCTCCTCTAGCTCTTCGTCATTGACTTTGTCGTTTATTTTCTCAGCTCTATACCCTGAAACAGAGCAAGAATAATTGTAATTTGTCCATCACCTACATGTAAATAACAGCAATGGCATTTATACCTCACATGCTTTATTTAAAAAATAATATGTGATTTCCTTTATTATTCATTGAATCAATATTAATATTCTGCTTTTAGGGGGTGCATGCTGTAAATTAAAGTAAATGGCATAAAATCTGGACAACTTAACCGATATATTGTATTTTCTGTACAAATATATTACCTCTCTTCTCTACCTCTTCGTCATTGACTTTGTCGTTTATCTTCTCAGCCCTACTGGGGGTAAACCCTAAAACAGAGCAAGGATAATTGTAATTTGTCCGTCACCAAAATATCAGCAATGGCATATCTCCCTCTGTTTTCTGCGGCGCAACTATGTGAGTGCGTGAGACGTCATACATGCGAGTATCCGCGGACCCCCCTTCAAATTATTCTAGATCCGCCCCTGCTGTCTGGACATGAATGTGTGCGTGTAACCCCATTAACCTCGTTTGCTGTTAATAGCCCGTTTATCGTCCTATAATCTGACCACAATACTACTTTTCTGGAATTTTATCTCCCATTAGTTTGTGGGTGTCATGGCGATTTTAATGAATTACTTTGAAAATAACCGTTTTTTTTTTCTGCCTGCCCGCCATTCTTCTCATATCTCTCTCATCGTTTCTCTCTCTCTCTCTCTCTCTCTCTCTGTGTGTGTGTGTGTGTGTGTGTGTGTGTGTGTGTATGCATGCCTGCTATTTCCGTTACCTCTCTTCTCTTCCATTCTATACATGTATGGACGCCTTGAAATTCAAGGAAAAATATTGCCGTACAATTGTATCATTAATACGGGTTTCACCTATTGCCACATTTATCTGGTTATTCATCACGCGTAAGCACACGACCACATTGATTTCTTATCGCACTTTTTTTGCATAAAGAAACATAATAAAAATGGCGGCTTTTCAATTGGTGAAAAGTTGGACACAAACAACTAAGGGCGTATGCCCAGAGCTTAAAGATCGATCTATCCCCGCGGGGAGTCTCACTAGATTACTGTAAGATAATCCGGCTTAAATGTCCGTCCCGCCTACTACAAGCTATAAGGGGGTAATTTACTTTCGTGCCCGCTCGGCTGACAGCTATCTAGCGTGAACCCCCAGGGAGTTAGGTCGATCTAAAGTAGATCGATCTAATCTCTGGGAATGGGGTCTTAGGCAACATTCACAGCAGCGGGCTTACTAGTCCACCGATCAAATATGGCCGACCCCCTTAAATGCTTGTCGGTTAATCCCCGCCGGAATCTATTCAGTGTCTATTAGGGGATTATGCGACAAGCTTTTAAGTGGGTCGCCATATTTGATCCGGGACTAATTAGTCCGTGGTTGTGAAAGAGGCCGAGGTCTGCTAGTACATCGTGCCGATCACTTCTTCAACTTCCACGGTTCACAAAATATGCACATGTATCTGAATGCATCGTCACAAAGCTATAAAATATTTAAAAATCACGAACGACCATTTTAATACGAAAAAAAAATCACTGAACTGGACAAGCGATCTAAAAATAATGGTTTTATGTTTCTCACATATTACGTCATAGAGAAAAATGTTTGTAAATCGAACTTTGTATGTACTACTCTGTTCCGGTATGTCGTTATGATATCAGTATACATATTTATCTGATATTTATCTGCCTTTAAACATATACATTTCCTTTTGGCATTTATACTGGTACGGTGTGCTGTGTCGATAACAATGAAACTGATTTGGGGTACATTGTTGACATGAAAAACGAGTAGCAGTTTGTAAAACGAGGAAGAAAATGAAACCCAGCTGTAACTAGTTATAGCTGTTGAATTCTGAGAGAGAGAGAGAGAGAGAGAGAGAGAGAGAGAGAGAGAGAGCAAAGAAAAGACAGAGAGAGTGGAAATGAGAAACCAGTGAGAGAGAGAGAGAGAGCGCGCGTGTGTGTGCTTGGGGGAAGGGGATCTTCATCTGCTCCATTCTCTTCGTTGTCCACGTAAAAGTCTTGATCGTTAATTTTCTGTCACTAACTGTCTGTTCAACTAACTGTTTGCGTGATATTAACATTCTGCTATATCAATTAACTATCCAATATTTCCTTACAAGGCACTCTTTGGAAGCTGTAGTTCATTTACAACATCAATACTCATATCCAAATGTATATTTTCTATTACAACATACGTGAAAATTATTTTTTTTGATTATGAAGTGAACCCGTCAATTAAAACCTTGTGTGCCTGTGATATCCTCCACTGTTGTCAAAAACGAAAACATTTTTCAGACTAGTTTACACTTAAGGCAATTTTACTTGCATTTAATAACTTGCTTTTTTTTTCATTTAAATTTATGTTCTTCTTCTTTTTCTTCAAATTTCTATTAACGAAGTAAGGTTAACAGTTAACAGTTAACCTTAAATCAAGTTTACTATTAAGCTCACGAGTAAATATTCCAACAACTATTTAACGTTTAGTATACGCATTGCAAAGTAAGACACATCCTTTCATGTAATCAATTTTTCATGAGCCAGCGGTTGTATTATCAATTTATAATCGTTGAATTGAATTGTTAAATTTAAAAATGTACTTTTAACGTCATTTTATTCTTTTTTCAACCCGACATAACTTCTCTGAATTTCGCAATACATTTTAAAACAACTCGGCATGTAATCACTAAACAATGATTTACAATCAAGAAAATTAGGTGTCGTGAAGATATGAAAAATATTTATAAATCATAAACCTAAATAATCTTACTCAAGTATTAAGTATTGCTCCATTTTCATCCTATGGTTTGAAAGGTATTATTCCTGCGTTTTCCTTGTGTACCTCTCTCTCTCTCTCTCTCTCTCTCTCTCTCTCTTCAAACACACATGCAGGCACATTCACAATACAAGCACAAACGCGCATTAGCAAACTGAATACACATTTACAAGCACGTACGTACACACACACACACACAGAGAGAGAGAGAGAGAGAGAGAGAGAGAGAGAGAGAGATTCCAACCCCAAAACATGCATACCCAAACAGACATACACCCGTTCATACATAACGAACACGCACAGGGGAGGAACGTAAAAACTTAATATTGTCAAAACTGCGATAAGATAATTGGGCGGGATCTCCCCAAGCAGAGCGATATTTTTTAGGATCAGATGGATAGAAGAACTGAAAACATCATGAGAAATTCTCACCTAGCATCACCACTTTTTACCTTTTTACCTAGCAACAGTAGGCTCTGAACTTACAAACGTTGTAAACGCTTTTAAACATTTTTGGCAGTGTGCTGTAACGTATTTCGACTTGTTTTCTAAACATAATTCTTAATTTATTTACTGTGTTACTTTTACTTTATATTTTTATCAAACCTTGCATCAAAGGAAAACGGTTTCTGACATTTAAAATTGGCTGACTGAATTCTTATCTTATCTCATCTTGCTCCATCTTATCTTATTTTATCTTACGCACTCACTCATACACACACACACACACACACACACACACACACAAAAGCAAACATAAATATGAATTTCCTACCTCTCTCTTCAATACCTCCTATAATAACCAATCCACAAAAGAGGACAAAAATCAGGAGTGGATTCTTCATAGCTAAATTCCGATCGGTTGTCGCCAAGTCTGTGATATTACAAGCAGTGTCCGTTTATCGTTTCAACTGAAATGAGCTCCTGCATGAAGTTCCCAGGTTTTATACCAATTGAAGCCACGCCCGCCTTTCCGTCACGGGGAGTAATCGTTAGACTCTAATGACGGTGGGTAGCTTGTGGGTGACAGCGTCTGGATATAATTCTTTATGATCATTAACGCGTGACATCCGTAGAGGAGGATCCCACCTGTGCGTATGATCAACGGTGATGCGGAGAGAGGCTGCGTTGCGCGTTGACTACCATTACATTTTTTCTTATATCATTTCACGATTTCAAGTCTATTTTTTTAAAGGGGGGTGAGATTACAAATTGGCGCCCTTTTACATGTAGCCGCAGTTGAATTTTTATGAACAAACAGGCGTATCTCACTGTTTATTAAACTAATTCAGTCCTCAACGACGATGCATGTTATGTATGTAAATTAAATAAAGTGTTTAAGTACCATGAAAAACCGTTTTAATACGAACAAATTAAAATACAGAAATTTACAACCGTCCTGAAAATTCAGTGGTTTCATATGCCCCTCCCATCAACCTCGAGCAAAGGAGAAATGTCTGTTCATGTAAATGATATGTGTTACTTTTGTTCTGTACATCATCATAGTATCAGTATTCCCATTTATCTGCTGACGAGATGAAATTATCGGTCATTTAATATACATGTGTCTCCTTTTTGTGTTTACTTTGTCGTAAACATTGGAGCTGGTCCTTACGTCGTGTGTACCAGTAGTTTCAGCTAAATTGTGGAATGTGAAAAGCGCAAGAAAATAAATTCCAGTGATAACTTTGCTGAGAGAGAGAGAGAGAGAGAGAGAGAGAGAGAGAGACCCTAGTACCGGGTAAGCTCCACCAGTGATAAACACATTACTGTACTCGAGTAAAGTTATAATTAGGCTACATCAATACTATGCTAATCATAGCTTACTATATTGTAAAAAAGTTTTAATTATTTTGCGAAACCCTGCTCTGGTTGTAGCTTGTTTGATATTTTTATTTTCAAGCAACAAGAGCGTAAAACGTGCCTGTATAAATTCCGAACTCAACTTTGAATATAAGCAGACAGACAAATTAACTAGGGAAATATCCATCAGTTTCTCATAAAGAGATCTAATGCAGGCTAGTCTTTATATGGCAAAAACTGCGAATTCCTACGCCTATCAATATCAGTGTAAAACCAATGTGAAAAAGTTCACGAAATAAAAAATTCATGTACCTACCCTGTAGATCAAATTTAACCAGAGAGGACCTTTTCCCAGCAAAAGGGGCGGATCTTTCGGCGACTTCTTGGTCTTCTAGCACTATTATATTATATTATATTATATTATAATTAAGCAAGTATTTTATTATTCAAGAAAACTCAGATTGAAATCATTGCCTAGGTATTTAAAATCTGATTATTTTATCAATATCTTAGATAACACACCGAAACTCATATACATTTCAAGCTCCCACACACGCTCACACAAACAAGCACAAATAAGGGTAGACACAATCACACACATAACAAATCAAAAGATCAAACTAAAACCAAATGTGCAAGCACACACATACACACCCAATAACAAGAATACTTACACAAACAAAAATGCAAACTTAGACCCCATTTCCATAGATTTTAGATCGATATTTCCCTGTGGGGAGTCTCACTAGATTACTGTCAGCTTAGCCGACTTAAGCGTCTGTCCCGCCTACTGAAAGCTGTAAGGGGGTAATTAACTATGGTGCGCGCTCGGCTGACTGCAATTTAGCGTGAACCCCCAGGGAGTTAGGTCGATCTAAATCTTAATCTCTGGATCGATCTAAATCTCTGGGAATACACCCTTAGAAACACACACACAAATTGTTTTCTTACCTGTCTCTCCCAATACTCCTACATGTATAATAACCAGCCCACAAACGAGGAAGAAAAAAAGAAGTGGATTCTTCATAGCTAAATTGCGATCGGTTGTCGCCACGTCTGTGATTTTACAAGCAGTGTCCGTTTATCGGTCAAAGTAAAATGAGCTGCTGGCAGATATTCGCGGCTATTATATCATTTGGGAGTCACGCCCACCTCTCTGTCACAACTTTAATGAGAGTGTGGAGCTGGGCAATGACAGGGTTCCCATACCTAGATCGATCTAACTGGATAGATCCATCTCCGAGAGGTTAATCGCTAAATTGCTTTCACCCTAAGCGGCTTCGATATCTGCGGCACACCTACTGAGGCTGCTAAATAATAATTAATTATTACCCTCTACCAGGGGCGCAGTTATATTTGTGGACATTTTTGGCTGAATCGACATCAGACCAAAATGACTGTCTATTTATCTAAAGACATATCGGTATCGGTGAATATCTTCAAGGAAAATCAATCTATCACCCTGGTGATTAATTACCCCCTAGCAGCTTCAGTAGGCGTAACAGACATCTAAGCTTCAAGTTGATTGCAATTTAGGGAGAATCTCCTCGGAGATAGATTGATCCACAGTATGTACAGGCATGGTCCCTAAATGAAGTCGTTTATCATCATTATAGCGGGACAACCGTAGATGAGAGACCCACCTTGGGATATAATCAACCATGAGAATTGCCGGACAAGATATTTTTGTGCGCGGTGACTTCGATTACATTCAGCAATTTTTCTCATCATGAAAACAGAGTTCAAAAAAGGCTTTAAAAACGGCTGTTGAATATTTCGGAAGAGGCAGCTAGGTGGTTTAATTTATTAATTCCCGTTTTCTACGGCGATGGTTTTAGAAGAACAGTCATGTATGCATCACTATTTAAGAACCATGAGCGACTGTTTTATTTAAAACAGAAGAAAATAACACAGTTGTCCTGAAAACCCGATAGTTCCAAAAGTTTCTTCCGTCTCAATTCAGAGGCAATTTTATAATGCAAACCTAATTTGCGTTATGTCGGTCCTGTATATCATCATACTATCAGTTTACACATTAATCAGGTGATGCGATAATATTTTACCCGGTATGTCATTTAATAAACATGCATATTTCCTTTTGTGGTATATAAACTGTGTCGTTAACATTGGAACTCATCCTTAGTTCATATGCACCAGTAGTGTTGTCAAAACAATTTAATATAAAACAAGCAAGAAAAAAATTCAAGCGTTATCTTTGCTGAGAGAGAGAGAGAGAGAGAGAAGAGAGAGACCCTTTTTTTTTTTTTTTTTTTTTTTTTTTTTGCGAAAGCAATGCTTGAGCCCTGCTTGGAGTCAGAGCATACCGGGTAGCTATACAATACAATAACCTGCATCACTGATAATCTCCGACAACTTTCCTGGACACATTTTCATCCCAAACAGGTATATCAATGCCACAATGGAGTTACGCCACTGTGTCATTAATACCCCCTCTCCGCGTTATCAAGGTGTCGATTACGTCACTATCAAATTAACACCACCTCTCCCGCTCAGGTGACTTTATTGTGTGCCAAAGGCAATGACAGGGGTGTTATTACAGTCTGTATGAAATGTAGCTAGGAATTTTAATTCTGTAAGAATGAGAAATGCACAGAGGCATATTGTGCGGATTCGAGAATTTGACCCCTTAAAAATTAAGAAAGATTAAAAGAAAACTGAAAAGCACGCCGAAAGCGCAGGCCCCCACCAAAGCAGTTCAGTTCTTATTGTTATTTATTAATCACCTCCTCAATAAATAATTTAATTGACTCAATTATCATTACCATTTATGACTTACTTACGTTGATTGACAATTTTTTCATAATTTACCAATTAATTCTTTCACTGATCACCACCAAAATTTAATCTATTCCTTACCTGTTCTGAAAATTTCACCAAAATCCTTATTGATGTTAAAAGACACACAGTCAAATAAAGGAAGTAATCATTAACCACTCCCAACAGCTTCTGAAGATCTAACCAAAATCCGTCCACAATTTTGCCACAATTTTGCAAACATACAAGCGGATAAAGGGAACCAAACACATAGAGCAACCTCTTTGGCAAAAGCAAATATAGAAAAGAAAAACCTTTTTATTTAAAGAATGTTGGTTAACTTTTTGTTTTAAATACTTCAATGTTAGTTTTCAATCTATCTCAATAGTTTTATTTTTTATATGTAAATGTAAATAGCGCTGAGACGCACGTGTAGTGCGGTTTAAAGAAATGTGTTGTTGTTATTATTATTATTATTATTATTATTATTATTATTATTATTTTTATTATTATTGTTATTTATTATAAAGTCTAGTAGACACGTCCTGCAGAAAAAAAGCGAACAAACACAGAATGTGTATTTCTAGGCGGCGATAAAGAGGGAAGAAAGAATGCAAATATAATGTAGTCTCTATGTGCTTGAAGACTTTTTTATTTCTCCTCAGCAACAATCACAATAAAACTCTGAAACTATTGGGGATTTATCTTATATTTTCCATTCAACTGGCGGCAAAGATTAAATAAACGATTAAAAGGACGACTAATTTAATGGTTAAGGCATACGATGCACGTTAGATCATCAAATGAAAAATATCGAATTTCACGGATACAGCATAGCAAATCAAAATGACGAGCAATGACAATATAAATATATATTTGAAAAACTCATATTATTTAAAATTACACTTAAGGTATGTATTATGGCTTAGGCTCTAAAGTTAATACTTTCCTGAGGATTTCAACAATAGTTGTCAGTCACAAAGATACTTCCTATACGAGATTGTTGCATTATTGTTATGGGTAGGAGCGCACACAGCGTCTATACCATTCAACTATCACACACTTTTAACACATCTGGCTTTCGAACAAATTGGAAAAGAAATAAGAAACGCAAGGTACATTTACACTATATCGCTATTTATTGGCTGTTTAACTGCTTGCTTTTCAGATATCGTTTGATAAGAAAACGAAGTTAGGGCATCAATTTAACAGTATAAGGATCATATTTTAAAACAAAATGGATTGTTTTAATTCTACAAAAACATTAATCACTTTATACTATTACTAATTGCGATCTAAAATGATCGAAAACACCATCAAAACATGACCAGTGACCAAAGCAGACTGTCTGGATGTCATGATTATAACATTAATTACACGTTGCCCATGCCTAATATGGTCAGTTGTTTGTTCTTAATAGTTCAAAATCTGTTTGCGATGAGATATGTTGAGAAAAGGACCAGTTGCATCAAATACAGGCAAATATTTTGATATTTTGCCAATCAAATCATTGATTTTTTTAAATCTCCGGCACGATCTTGTACCAATCCAAGTTGACTCTTTCAGGAAAGCGGAAGTCACGTGTTGGAAGGATAGTGTGCCCAGATGATACAACTGAAAGACGAAAGAGGAATAAATAAATAAAAACATAAAAATAAATAAGTAAATAAATAAATAAATAAATAACTGAATTGTTTTTGTCTGCAGGTCATTTTGCCAAACAGACTGTTAAGTTTTAATAACATTAACGTGCATTTACAGGTGATGTGCTCAAAGATTGGAACGAAAATATTTAAATTAAACTTTTCTCTCAGAGAGAGAGTTTATGGTAATTTAACATCAACGCAACTTTCAGAGTAATATTTTATCTACGCAAGAACACATTTAGTCTGAATTGCATAATTTTACACAATGACTTATGCTGTTTATGTATGTTCTTCTTTACCTCTGATTTATTGAATATAATATATAATATTATGAACTATTGATACTTCTTTCACATTACCTTAGTGCTTTTTCCTTTGAAGATCCAGGAGTCTTTTAAGTAGATTGCTATTGGCGTCTGCAACTGAAAACAAAGTCATACAGAGCTACAATAAAAACATCAGATGTGGGTATTCAGACAAATAATAATTGTCTGCAGATACATACACTAGTGGGCTGGATTTGGTCTTAAAGTGCAATTTAAGCTCACAAGTGATCTTACACGATCTTAAACATTACAGCAGTAGTCTTAAAATGGACTGAATCTGCTTTTAAGATCAAAAATGATCTAACATCTACTTAAGTGGTCAAGCAGTTTCCTCCCCTCAAAATGGGGGATACCTTCCCTCACAATAAAGGACACCTCTGCTCACAATAGGAGAATGTGTAAGGGGAGACAACTTAATTGGCTGTTAGACCAGAAATAGTCTTACTCATGGTTTAAGATCATGTAAGACTATTTGTGAACTTAAATTGCACTTTAACACCCCATTTCCATAGATTAGATCGACCTAGTTTAGATCGACCTAACTCCCTGGGGGTTCACGCTAAATAGCTGTCAGCCGGGCGGACACGAAAGTTAATTACCTCCTTACATCTTGTAGTAGGCGGGACGGACATTTAAGTCGGATTATCTGAAAGTAATCTAGTGAGACTCCCCGCGGGGATAGATCGATCTAAAATCTATGGGAATAGAGCCTAAGACCAAATCAAGCCCACTAGTGATAATTACTGAAGCAGCTTCTGTAACCTTAGATGATAAACTCAAGTCAGGGGCGGATTTAGGTCGTCTTCTGGGTCTTCCGGAAGGCGGTCAGATTTTCAAGTTTACATTGTCAGCCATCTAATGTTTTCTGTCGGAAGACGGTCAAAAATAGAAGATGGATCAACAAAGAAAATTTGGAAGACTGTCAGAAAATATCTCTGGATCCGCCCCTGGAAGCAGCTTCTGTAACCTTAGATGATAAACTCAAGTCAGGGGCGGATTTAGGTCGTCTTCTGGGTCTTTCGGAAGACGGTCAGATTTTCAAGTTTACATTGTCAGCCATCTAATGTTTTCTGTCGGAAGAAGGTCAAAAATAGAAGATGGATCACCAAAGAAAATTTGGAAGACTGTCAGAAAATATCTCTGAATCCGCCCCTGCAAGTCATGAGTGCCCAACTACTATATCTACATAAAAACTGTTCGCACACGTATTTTATCACAAATTTGTGTTTCTAAGATCGCATTCATAACGAGTTGAGCCAGGCTTTACAAATCCTGGGGACTAAATGTGGCGGACGTACATGAAAGAAAAACCGCCTAATCTTTTAATAGTCTCTCCGCCTCTCACACGCCTCCCCA